GAATCAGCAGCCATTTTCGAACTAACCAAAACCTTGATTAGTTTGATCTAGGAAAGCAAAAAAGAGCAGCGAGAGCACAATGCTCGGTTGGAAGCCATGATGAGGAACATGCGGCCCATTGTGGTACGCGCCCCTCCGATGCAACAAGGATTAGCCCCGGCACCTGCGCTCGAAGGAGTCGCAAATAATCTGAATGACTGTTATGCATGTTATCAGCCAGGACATCTAGCCCGTGATTGCCCCCACCGACCCCCATAACAACGAATCGGGGTCGCGACTATAGCGGCGGCTCCCATCGCTAACAGACCTGGACGAGTCGGAGCTTTGATGGAAGAAATAGAGGGCGGGGGAAAAGCCCTGGCCACCACGGAAGAGGCCGCTGAGCTAATCCCACTAGATCAGTACGTATTGCTGGGATATCCTGGGCTTGGAATGATCGGAACAATCAGACCAGTGCCAGAACCGAAAGAGGTGGCGGAGTGGCGACCGTCTCTAGGAGAAATAGAGTTGGGAGGACCCACCTTCGTCACAGGAGAGATCGATGTATTAAACATCATCCGAGCCTTGGACCATCGGATTCCCCTTCCAATCGGTCATCTACTCTCGATCTCTGAGCAAGCCAACGAGCGAATGCTACAGCATTGCAAAGCAAACCGAAAGCAATTCGCCCTCGCCCGAACACCAAATGCAAAAGCCAAAGGCCCCGCGCCAGAAGAAAACCCAACAGGCACTCCGGATCCGATACGGGTGGGTTTAATTCAGAAAGACGATCATTTCTTACGAATTAAACCGATTCCGTGGAAGTCCGCAGAATGTGATATTGAAATTTGGGGAATTCCCTACAGCGCAATTATAGATTCGGGAGCAGCTGTGTTGGCGATTTCACTGAGAGTGGTCCAAAGGGCAGGTAGGAAAAACGATCTGATTATGCTCACTGAGAAAGATCAACTCGTTTCGACAGATGAGGAAAAGATCAAAATTGTGGGCCGAATGACCAATGTCGCCTTCCGATTAGGAAAAGTACACGCGCTTGGGGATGTCGTAGTACTAGATGTTAATACGTACGACGTTCTTTTCGGACTTCCCGCTCTTGTGGCATTACGAGCGAACCTGGATTTCGAGCGACGATCGATCGTCCTCCGAAATATAGGAGGAAAACCCTACGCTGTGCCCATGCGATTGACCCTTCGCACTACTATTAACACATTTCCGCGGGTTTCGCCGATGATGGCAGGAACTCTCCGCATGATCTCCTAGGATGAATCCGCAACGGGAAAGTCATCAACAGATGATGCGGAAAGCAGTGACGAAAATGATCCGGAGATCTTGAAATTGGTACGACAACGCGTTTGCTACCCGCCGCCCAAAACGATAGCAAGAACGATGCAACTGACCAGCCGAAAAATTCAAAGGACCAAGGCAATGATCCTAGGTGAGCCCCTCGTGCAGATTTCGAGGATGGTCGACTCTTTGGAACCCCCTCAAACTCTGTACGAAGGAATCACCCCTCTCCTTGCCAGGTATAGCAACAAAAAACATTATTGCGACATTACGGAATTACCTAAGTCTTTATTGACATCTGCTAAAGAAGTGAGATTATTACGCTTGGGGGCGGAAGCAAGCTCTCTAGAACCCCCTGGGCGTTTTGAGGCAGAAACAGACGGACTGGGGATTCGCAACTAAGAATGTGCCATAGCAGGATGTTTGTGACGGGATTACCCCGGAAGGACACGTGGCAATCCGGGAAGAAGATGCCCAGATGATGGCCACGGTGTTTTCCTGGCGATCGGACCATTCGTTCATCTCGGCGCCTCCGCCCGACATGGCAAAACAGACACTCACGAAACAGCTTGACGTTCGGATCGGGGATCAACGTTTTGAACTACACGTTCCACAGTATGTACCGGATGAAATCCACCCGGTGATTGCGGACATTCTAACGGAATATCAAGGAGCGATGAGCGTGACAGACACTGACATTGGTCTGTTGTTAGTAATCCAACATGAAATTCAGACAGGAAATCACTCCCCGATTCATTGCAAACCTTACCGATATTCCTTGATTGAACGCAAAAAGGCTCTCGAACGAATTCGGGAATTCGAAGCCAGCGGCTGGATTGAACCCACCACCGGACCTTGGTCCTTTCCCGTAGTGTTAGTACCGAAGAAAAACGGAGCGATTCGCATTTGCATTGATTATCGCAAGCTAAATGAAATCACGATCAAAGATGTGTATCCCCTCCCCTAGATTGATGATTTGTTGGATGCGATTGGATGCGCTAATTATTTCAGCAAATTTGATATTCGGCATGGCTTCCATCATATTCTTGTTAGAGAGGAAGATCGGTCGAAGACGGCCTTCGTGTTGTTCGAGGGCACGTGGCAGTGGGTTCGGTGTCCAATAGGGATTTGCAATGCGCCTGCCACGTTTCAGCGAGCGATGAACATGACGTTCCAGAACTTCGTCAACAAGACACGGTTGACGCAAGGGATGATTAACTTTTGCGTGATCGTGTACATGGATGACATCCTGGTCTATTCGGAAACCTATCACGGGCACGCGCAACACATCGAATGGACATTGGGCACGTTGAGAGACGCTGGGTTCAAGATTGCGCTCGAGAAGAGTGAATTTTTCCTCTCGGAAATTTCATTATTGGGCTACGTCGTGACACGTGGAGGATTGCGGCCGGACTCGAGAAAAGTTGTGGCGGTGAAAGAAGCCCCGGTTCCCACGTCACTAACGCAGGTTTGAGCCTTCTTGGGATTGGCGTCGTACTACCGGCGCTTTATCAAGGGTTTTGCCACGATTGCGCGGCCACTAACGAATCTGTTAAGGAAGGACCAGCCTCTCACTTGGGACGCGGAGTGTCAACAGGCTTTTGCAACCCTCAAGGGCGCTCTAGCGACGACCCCTATTTTGATTCGGCCGGACCCCTCGAAGCAGTTCATTCGCATCACGGACTGGCAACCGGAAGCTATTTTCGCTATTCTAACGCAGAAGGGGAACGATGGTCGTGAACACTTCATCGAATACGTGTCACGCACCGTACCGGACGAACGAAGGAATGACGCGGCACCTCAAGGCGAATGCTACGCAGTAGTCTGGGGAATCCAACACTTTCATCCGTATCTCTACGAACAGAAGTTTCACCTCGTGATAGATCACGAACCCTTGCTGGCGCTGAAGAAACTCACCAACTACACAGGCATGATTGGCCGTTGGGTGGTGCGACTGCAAGAATACGACTTCGATATCGTCCATCGAAAGACAGAGCGACACGGCAACGATGACGGGCTGACACGTCTGCATCGACCTGCCAAGGTACCAAAGGGCGAGGAAATTACACCGTGGAAAGAGCCGGACTTGACCAACGATCCGAAATACGGACAAGTGGTGGTTCTTCCACGTGGCAAGAAGTAAAACGGTGGCGATGGGTGATGGAGGTAACCCCACTACCCCTCTCTCTCCCCCTTCCTCTTCGTCTCTCCTCTCCCTGCCTGACAAGTTTTGCTATTTTTGCGAAGCCATCTCCCGCGTATACGCGGTCTCCATGCGTCCTAACGGGGAAGGGTATGCGGATTGGATAGATTGTCGACAGTGTGTCGCACGAGCCCATGGCTCGTGCATCCAATACAGAAACAAATAGTAAACCGTGGTTGTGCCCCTTGTGCCGGACCGACAAGATTCCAACCGAGGCTCGCTTTTTGGATGCCACGTCAGAAGGGTTGGAAAAGACCCGGAAGTTTAGAAGGGCCGAAGTATGGACGGATATTGCCTTAATTGCCACCCTAGTAGGTAACCCCCTCCAGGATTTCACCAAGGAAGATCGGAGGAGGGCCAACGAAAGGGCTCGGGATTATCGATGGTTAGAAGGTAGATTAGAAAAACGAAAAACGGATGGCAGTGGGATTTGGATGGTGGTACCGCATCCGTTCATGCGGTATGACTGGGTTAAGACAGCCCACGAGGAAACTGCGGCCCATTTTGCCGTACGAATCAAGGAATCCACTATCGACAAAAATGAGTGGTACTGGTCCAATATCTGCGACGATGTGAAACACATTGTCGCCAACTGTCAAGTCTGCACCGCTGATAAAGCGTCGATTCAGCCACCAAGATCGATAGTGCCCACAGTTGTTGAACGGCCATTTCAAAGAGTGAGCATGGACACTACCGACATAGTGGTGCCCCCTGGCCCTAATAGTTGCAAATATTAAGTCATATTGGTATTTGTCGACCATTTCTCGAAATGGATCGAAGCGTATCCTTGTCGCACACGGCATACGGAAGAGATCCTGACTAACAACGGGGCCGAATTTAGGGGGGAAGTGTTAAGGAATCTGGTCATACATGGCGTCGCCATACGGAACACTGCACCCCACATGTCACAATGCAATGGGCTGGTCAAAAACGCTAACCGGATGATAAAGATAGCATTGCGACGAAACATCGCGGCACGGGATCCGAGGCCCTAGCCCGATATCGTCGATCACATCCTGGCGGTCCATCGCGGAACGCCCCACGAATCGACGAGGCTAAGCCCCTTCCAATTAAGGACCAATAGCGTCGCTTGCGTTTCCATACCAAGCCTCCCGGTTGAGTCTACATTGAACCGACGGCCCACCAGGGCCACGGCTCGGGACAAGGCCAAACGACACCTAGAGTTAATGGAACGGTCGCTGCCCAGGCTAGCCCGAAAACGACAGAAAATGACCGAACTAACCCAAGGCCGACAGGTCCGGAGCTACGAGGCCCGAAATGGGAATGCGAGTCTACGGCCCCAGTACAAATTGGGGGACGTGGTGCAGGTNGAACTAACCCAAGGCCGACAGGTCCGGAGCTACGAGGCCCGAAATGGGAATGCGAGTCTACGGCCCCAGTACAAATTGGGGGACGTGGTGCAGGTAAGGAAATGTGCTCACCAGGGTAAGCTAGCGCCACGATTCTTCGGGCGATATCGCGTGATCGAACTCGGCCCTAACGGCGTGGACACCGTGCGTCTGGCCCCCGAGGTCTCTGGCAGTCGATCGGCTCGTCCGATCACCCGCCACGTGTCCTATCTTCGTCTCCTCCCCTCTGCTCCGTCTCCTTCTCCCTCGGTCTCTCTTTTTCTGAGGAAGCCGACGACGACGGCTCTGACTCTTCGCCATCTCCCTCTCCTTCTTGCTCCCTTTTTGCCACCCCGTCACCCCTGCCATCGCCATGAGCTTCGCCATCCAGCGAGCTTTCAGTAATGAGTTGCTGATGCCACGGGGAGAGATCTCAGCCATCCGCCAAATGCATCATCCGCGGATCAACCCCGACTTCATGCGCCTTGCGCAGTTTTTCTGCACTGCGGGTGTGTACGACGCGGCAGAGTTCCGGTTCACGAGCAATCCCCAGGTGGTGGCGTTGGCCGAGGCAACGACGTTCCAACGGCGAGCGGCCCCGGGAATTAGCCACGTGTCTACCGTGGTAGTCTTCGGCGGCGACATCACCGCCTTCGATCCGGCGCGGCAAGCCGCCATCAAAAGCACCTTGTACTAGTGGGGTCGTGATCTGGCCACTGATTGGGATCGACGACTCACAAGGCACGGTGACGAGTGCTATCCTGTCGGCGGCATCGAGGTCAACACGCTGCGCACTACGTTGCGCGAGCCACCTGTCATCCCCCCAGAACTTGCTCCCTTCCAGCCGCGCAGATGAGCCGCGCGCCGATCTCGACGTTTTCTCCTCCCTCTCTCTTCCCCATCTTCTGGCAGTCCTCTCACTACCCTCATCTCTCCTTCCGCCTGGAGCCGCTGATAATACCCATCGTTGATCCGGATCGTTGGAAGTGTGGCGTGTAGAGTTCGTTGACCTCTCGTTCTGCCTGCTACGAGTGGATCTGAACTGGACGTGGGAAGGCGATCGGAGGCCCACGCCAGAGACCGTGGAGCTGCTCATCATCCAGGCGTGGAGGACCAACATGGCGAGAGACCTTCTGGGATTCGTCTTTGGAGCAGTGGATCGGGGAAACCGATCACAGATCGTGCGCGAACTTACGATCGTGATCGCGCGACTGGCCGACGAACTCCCCCTTGACATCGTCTCTCAGAGCGACGAAGAGCCCGTGCCACCCTCTCAAGGACTCTTGCCCCGAGCCTCCAGTGGTCGGCTTGTATTGAGGAGCGCTGGGCGGACGACCGTTTTCCCTCTCGCAGCGAGTACCTGGACGTCCACAACCTAACTAATCCCCACTTCTTTCGGCAACCAACGGCGTTCGAGTGGGCGGCGCTGAGAGCAGAGGAGGAAGCAGAAGAGGATTCGGAAGGAGAATTAAGGAGAGAGGTCGGGGAGGCAGCGGCCCGGTTGGCCGAGGACGAGGAAGAAGAACGCGAAGCAGAAGAAGAGTTGGCGGAAGCTGAAGAAGAAGAAGAAGAAGAAGACGCAGAGGAGGAGACTTCGGAAGAAGAGGAGGAAGCCTATAGTGAGCACAGCGAGGGCGAGCAAAGTGAGGAGGAGGACGAAGACGGCGACGAAGAAGTGGAAAGCGGAGATGACCAGGAGCCAACGCACGACGACTAGCTCGAGTGGGTGCGAGGACCGGATCGACGAGAGGAGAACCCTGAGACTGCCGCGCAGCGCAAGAAAGAGGTCGCGGAGGGAAAGCGGCCGGCGATCGACCTCACATCGAATGATCTTTCCAAGGATCCTGAGCCGCCCAAGCTGGAACATGGAGACTGTGCTGCCACGACCTCGAGCGCTGCGACGATAAGGCGTCGATCCCGATCACGATCCCCGTCCCCCTCCGCCTCCACCCGTCCCCCAATTCGTCAACGTATCGATGAGGGGCTTCGCCCTTCGTCCTCGATCCATATACCACCGTCCCCTTAGCCATCTCTCTTTCAATCAGTATTTCCATCGCGTCGTCTTCCCCCGTAATCCCTTCCCCATCGCCACCTTCCGACATTTCTACTCCGCCCGCCTAGAGCTGATTGTCTACCCCCACCCTTCCGTTCGATGCGTCGTCCCCGATTACCCCCTCCACGTTCTACTCCTTAGCGCCGCGTGGCGAGGCCGTAACCACATAGAGGTTTACTGCATCGTTACGAGGACCTTTCCCACGTGCGAAGACCATGATCGGCTCCGCACCGATGTCCTCCGAACCCCCGTTTCCCTTTACCCAGACTACCTCGCTTCTCTTCCCTGCAGCGGCCAGCGATTCCCCCGCTTCCATCGCATCGTCCGCTTTCAAGAGATTCCCTACGACCTCACTGCGATCGGGCGCTTCATGCCTGAGCGTACGATGGAGCCGCCTCGCCCTCCCTCATACGTGTACCGCCTTCCTTTCCCCCTTCCGGTTAATTACTGATGCAGCGGTAATGGACGCGTGTCGCGACGACGGCACGAGAAGGATCCCGTCCTTGGATCGTCGAGAACCCAATCTAAGAAACAAGTAGAAGAGCAATGTTGTCACGTGGATGACGTCCACACGCAGTTGAACGATAAGTGGCATAGACAAAAGTGCTCCGTGTGTCGATCGATTAGAGAAATCGACACATGTCAACAAGCAAGCAGGAGCTTGCTAATATTGGAACCCCCAAGGCGTCACATATGTGACGAACCACTTTCTGTAACGCGCGATTTTCTGCGCGGTTGCAACAAGGGGTTCTAAGCTGGGAAGATTGGGCCAATTACGGGAGATCGGGATCGGTGGAGAATTGCATCAGTGTCCTCGCTTTTTCGTCCTTTTCGTCGCTTTTTTTTCGAATGGCTAGGCACGGAGTTGGGTGTGTCTTGGGACGGCCGGTTGATTGATTGGTTGGATGGATGTCTTTCACGCCGCGCGCGCACACGATTAATAAATGTTGACGTCGTCTCTTTCGTTTCGGTTTCGATCTTTTGGGCGCGGGCATCGCACGGGAAATTTGCTTCATTCTTTTGAATTTCCTTTTGAATTTTGTCGAGTCCCCGATGGCTCCCGGAATTTCGGACTGTCCTCCTCAACCTTGTGCTTTTTGCTTCTTCGCATTAGATAGGAATTAGGAATTCAGTAGTTAGGATTTTTCTTTTTCTTGTCGCGCGGCGCCTTCTTCCACGCGCTTCTTTTTGCGGCTGCAACGGTATTCTAATTAGTAGGCGCCCTTAATCGTGTGTGTAACTGTAATTTTGGGGCAGCCGTCATTGTAACTATATTTTCCTTATTACATCTTGTCTTTCCCGCCCTCCTTCTCTTTCTGTTGCTGAAGTTTTTGTAAGCCACGACTTGCATGCTCGGATCGATGCGTGGAGAGAGGCTACGTCCCCCACGCCGCGGCCCGACCATGCAGAACGCAGGCGCTCCTTCTCTAATCCCCACTCTAAGTCCTGGTAATTCCGTGTTCTTCGCGCATGCATGCACGCTATAAATTTCGGTTGCGCGATTAGTAAGCTCTCTTAACCCGTCGTTGGAAGCTCGGGGTTGCGCGATTTGGAAGGGTCGGCACACGAGCGAAGTAAGAGGTGAGTAGAGTAGGAGTTGGGCGACCCGACGGGCTAGTGCCGAACGCGCGGGATTGACGCGGGCCACGACGGACTGTGGGCACGGGCGAATCCGACGGGTGCGGGAGGACTAAGCGGGGTGACAACTTCGTGGGTTGGTGCGTAACGACGGAATGTCCGCATCGGAGAAGAGAGAGAAGGAGAGAGTTGAAGTCGATGGACGCGGATTTGCTGTTTCTTTGTCTCTTCCCCCTTTTCATCTGTGTACATACATTTTGATTGCGGCTCCGGGCGGTTTTGCCCGTTCTTATTTTCGTTTCGGTTTTCTGGAATCTGGGCTTGGGTTTTTGCTCACACCTGTCCTTGGGACGTCCGTCCCGATTGCATTATGTGTATGATTGTCGAATGTATGGATGTATGAATGTTATGTTTGTTTGTCTATCTTTTTGCGGAGAATCCCGGTCCTTGTTTTTTTTCGGTGTCGAATCCTTGCCTGCACCTGATACAGTTGTAGATGGGATAAGAATCTAGCTTGATAGTGATTTTGTTCTCGTTTTTGCTTGTCTCACGATGGGGTTGTGATATGGTTGCATCTTGCATAATCGGAGCTTACGAAGCAAATTAGACGATCCGAAGTCTGGCTCCGCGAACGCCGCGCGAGAACACGTGCAAACGCGATCCGAGTCGCGCCCTTACACGCATTCCCCCGCGTCGATTCGCCCACCCAAAAAGATTCGCGGCGGAACCGTCATCCCGTACGAGCACGATGAGGCGCAACTAAGTTCGCCTGTCCTGCACATGCTCGTGCGCGGTGATGATAACCCGACCCGAGTTGTCCCATCTACGATGATACCATGACGCGATCTTGGAGTTCAGACTCATCCTACGACCCRGATTATTTCACCCCTTGGATAAACGAACTCATTAGGTTGCGATACCCCTGTCACACGGAGAATCGACTATGTCCGCGGGAATTCCACTGCGCCACCTCTAGCGACCCTCGGTGCTCTGATTTCCCTTCTCCCGACAACACCTATTACTTCACCCACTCGGGATTTGTTATCATCACCACCAGTTTCCCTCCTTTTCGCCTCCTTCTCCCGTATCATCAACTCAGCGTCGTTCCGTGGTTGGCCATAGACCCCTTTTGGCCCAGTACGTTTTGTGTGAATTGCCGACGTAACGGCGAACGGAGAACTCCGGAATTCCGAAGGCCCAATCCAAGTACACGCCTGCCCGTGCCACGTGGCGGCCCCCGCCGGCCTAACTTTTCGGGACCACCTCCACCACAGAGGGATTTCCCCGTAAACCGTCACCCACAGTGCCCTGGCCCCATCGGACCCTGAGTCCCTCGCGCATGCGCCCCTTATTCACCCAATTGCATTCATACCCTTAAGACTCCCCCACTTCCCCAAAAATCCTTGGCACACCCCTTCTTGCACTTCCAGGCCCATATCCCACTCCGATCAGGAAGTCGCGCTGGGCGTGAGGTTGGGTGTCACAGGACCCGTTTTCCAGCAGGTGCACCTCCCCACCAATAGATGGAGCAGCTGGAGTCTACTACTAGTTGGGGCTGCTCGTATCACCCCTTCTAGTAGACAGCCAAGGCTTTCCCTCCCAAAAAAAAAAAAAAAAAGTACCTAAGCCAACTCTAGACTAGGGTCTCCCTCCACTATTGCAGACTCTCGAAATATTTCGAGAGTTCGACTTGCGTTGTCAGAGAGGCGAGACTCTCGAGATACCTGTAGAACCTGTTACACTAGCTGCACTCTCGAAACCCCGGGCGTCGTTGGACTCGACAGAAGACATGTACCGCTACGCTACGGGACAATGCCAGGCTGGTCTGGCCGCCGGGACAGGAGGTCCACTCTCGAAAAACAAGCCGGTGGGCGGGCAACTCTCGAAGACACTTGCGAATCCGAGTTTTGCAGGCGGGCGACTCTCGACGTTTCGAGAGTGGCGTTATAGCATTCCTTCTGACAGCTCTCTATCGGGTTTCGAGGGTTTCCCGATCGAGAGTAAGTGCAACGAGGACCCACTCTCAAAACTTTGAGAGTCTAGAGTAGTGCAGCGAGGTCCTAGCCTCTGTGCCAACTCCAGACTACCGTAGTCCGGAACGGAATGTTTCCTCGGAGCCACCACAGTAGAAGCAGAAATGAGCTGCGCCTTGGAAAAGGGAGAAGGTAAAGGAAGTGTGGAGGCAAGAAAGTGTGGAGTTGGAGACGAACGACCGTTCTGGGTGATTAGGCTTGCTTCACGGCTTTCCCAGCAGAGGAAGAGTTCACACACACAGGTTGTACAGACGAAAAGTAATTCACGCACACAGCTTGTGCAAACGAAAAGTGGAATCACCGCTGTTGACGGATGTGGGTTCCCCTTAGTTGATGATCCTTACCTCGTTCCCCATCATACAATCGACGGCGAAGGAGGGAGAAAGGGGGGGAGGGGAAAGCAAAAAAAAAAAAAAACCTTTCTCAGCCTTTTGGCTAAGATCAGTTTAATGGGTCTCGCTCCACTACTCTCGACTCACGAAAAGTTTTGTGAGTCCTTCTAGAGCTGTCAGACGTGCAAAACTCTTGAAAAAAAAGTATTGGCTCCACTTACTCTAGACGGGTTTGCTCGAGATGCAGTGGCGGAATGAGACGAGCTCTATGACTGCACTAAAAGACAGCGCCACCCTGTTCTGATGGTCGGGACACGAGGCGCACTCTTGAAAAAAAATGGTCGGAGCCGGGGTACGACGGAGGACACTGGAAAAGCATGTCGTCGCAGGCTGGGCACTCTAGACACTTCGAGAGTGCCCTTCGAGAGTGCTCTCTGACAGCTCTCGAAGGGCGTTTTCAAGAGCACCTATCTAGAGTGAGTGGAGCGAGGCCTTAGGGCCTCGTTAGACCCTCCTTGAAAAATCCTCAGGAATTAGGACGAAGTCCTTGGAAAATTTCAAGGAATTCGGCGGTGGCGTTACACCGCATCCTAAACGAAAGGGTCCCAAGGAAAAAACTTGGAGGTATCCCGCGGCCAATTTCATACGCATATATGAGGCCGCGGGGGAGGATGTCCGTCGTCGTCGAGGGATGTCCGTCCGTCATCAGGCGTGGTCCACTGGCGGCGCAAGGAGGCCTGCGATGCTGCGCTGCGAAAAGAGGCGTGAAGGTTCCTTTTCGAAATA